TATGTTTGGAAATTTTTTAACATATTTCATTTAAAGGATGAGTTTGATATTCAAAGGTTGTCAGATTATCAAAAATCTTGGCTGTTGAGAGATACTGATATTGAGATTGTTTTCTAAACGAATGTTATACCTCAAGATGATGATGAAATAACCTAGGGTTTCTTAGGGTTTCTCTCACATTGTGTTAAAGCACTTTTTTTTAAAAAAAAAAAGTTAAAATGATATAGATCTTTGGGCTTCACAAATTGCTACTTGAAACACAGAATACTGCATTGGTAAAATTCGCAATGCGAGGTTTGATGCCAAGAGAAATTATCATAAACCATAAGCTTTTGTTTCATCAGAGAATGCTACGCCTGTGCAAGATCTAAAGCCCAGCATCCATAAAATGGTTTCAAAGGGAAACGACCTATTCAAAACAGCTGTTTGCAAGGAAAATAAATGGGATTTAATCTGCCATAAAATGAATGACACAATTTATTTTTCTTGAAGAAGTCATAGCTTTGTTCACTGGTGAGCTGTAACAGCTTTGCTTTAGAACTAAGCATCTCCTTTAATGCCAAACCCATAATAAGTCAACCATGCAGAATTTTCCTCCAGAGTAACTGGAAAGCCAGATCAGCTTATCCACCGCCTGATGCTTTCTTCTATTTTTCATTGCCCTGGTTTGAAACATGAGCCCAAGATGTATTTTGAATCTAGGGATAAGTAGTTTTTTTAAATTAAGCAGTACATATACCTAAAATTTTCAAAAATCAGACATTAATGTCCTACAAAAACTGGAATTTCATATCCTTCAAGCTAACATTTAAGAAAGAAAACAAAACAGCATGCTACATAAAATTATGAGATTCGTTATCTAATCTTATTAGCAAATGAAATTTAAAAATTAAAAGCTACTCATAAGACAAATATAAATATTTACAGCTCTTAAAATATCTAAGACAGAAATTTTTCTATGAATGTTTTAAAGACAACAATAATGTTCTTTGTCTCATTCATCTAAAAACATAAAATACTCTTTAACGACAAAGGGAAAGAAAGCAATAATAAAAATTTTCAGCTATGGAATTTTCTCTAATGCTATGTGTGATATCTAATGTGTAGTCCAGCTTGTATTTGGGCTGAGCCATGTGATTGTATTCATCTTAATTTTTCAAAATATATATGCTCTGTTCTTAATTAGCTGACATATATTGCACAGTGATTATGACATTCTTTCAGACTACATTAGACATTTTTTTCAATTTTTTAAAACAATAGATATATTTAAATACCTGTGTGTATCTGTGCATATAAACATTGATTCTAAAATAAAATTAAAAATCTCAATAATAATTGAGATATATTTTAACTTCCTTATTAAACAAAACAGTATTATTACAAGAATGTTTTGTAGTGTTTGACTTTCAGTGTTTTCACAAAGAAAACCACATGCCTTTATAATATGATAAAATCCTTAGATTTCAGATGAGCATATAATTAAAATATGTATCTATTAGACTAAGACATTGTTGTAGTAAGCAAGATGGATTTCATAGTTTATGCCACCCTCAATATTACCACTGAAAACTTGGGAGATTACTTAACAACTGTACTTTGGAAGAAAAATACAGTAAACTGCCACCTAAACAAGGAGTAGGTAAAGCTTACCAAGGCTGTATCACCATCATTGTCAGAAAAATGCTGTTTATGTAGACATCTACATTCTATGATAATTTTTTCTAATTTAATTAAAAAAAGAAAGGGGGGAAGATTCCTGAAGTATTTGTGCTTTGAAACAGATACTGCTCCTGGCAGATTCTTCACTGAGAAGCACTCTTTTAAATGTTATAAATACAAAACAATTTTATGAGTTGATGTAATATTGTGTAACTCACAAGCTTTCTCTTGAACATGATATGCCCCATTTGTTTTGACCTTAGCATATTATTATTCATATCCATGCTTTTGACCACAAAACTTAGTCCCAGTTTCCATTACCCTCAAATACTACAAATCTTAAACAGAACTGTTCAATAAAACTAATCATAGTTTCCACTGCTAGGCAATTTCATATAGATACCCTACTAGAAATCAGGATAGCTTTGTTCCAATTTTCACAATATATGACACTGAGTTTTTGAAGACAAAATTTTACGATGTTATTTTGTAGAATGTACTTAATTCCTGTTATGTGTTAGCTTCAGTTTGATGCTCTGTTTTTCTTTTGAAATAAAGTTATCTTTACAAGTTAAATGTGAATATTAAACAGAAGCATTTCTAATATTTATTTAGAATAACTGGTTATTGATAATGCTGAGACATGAAAATCACCTTGTCTCCTGCTCTGTTGGAGTATCTGATGGAATTCCAGCATGAAAATAACATCTGTCAGCAGTCATTGCAAACTATTTGCATGTATGAAAGCATTTGGATTTAGTCATATAAACTAGAAATGCTCTCCCATTCTTCATCTCTTACATACTCTTTTCAGCTGGTATGTTTTCCAACTTTTAGTAGTTGTAAAGCTTGCACTAATGGATTTTGCTTATTTGTTTATGGAAATTTTTCTTAGTTTAAACTAAGGGACTATATATAAAATTGAAATTGAAATTCAGGATTTTTCATTTGCAACGTTAGTCAAAGTGACCTTGCTTTTTAAAAGATTTAGAACAACTTTCAACTATGTGAAAAATGTAAATATTTTATGGTAACATAGATATTTATAGAAATTCTGCTGCACTGTTGTCATATATATTTGTTCTTTTTTTTTCTGTTTCTAAACTTGAATTAAAATTATTGCAATATTCCAAAGCAAAATAGATCAACACAATGTTAGAAGGCTTTATTTATAAAGACAGAAAATTTTCAAGGCAAGAGCTTATAGCAGTAGCCTGAAATAAACATAAAATGCTATAAAATGAACTCCTAAGAAGGCAAAGTAAATGTCTACAAGTTTGTGAAAATGTCAAGATACATCACAAGGATGTAATAATGATGAAACAAGGTAGGAATCCTTGACACACATAAATCCCACATGAATTACAAACGAAATAATATAAATGAATGGCAAAATTCATTTCAAATATATATATGAAGCAGGAGGACTTTTTTGAAGTTATGCAATTTATGCCTCCATGTTATTCAGTTGTTGCAACCCCAATTGGAAACATAACAGTGGTTTTCAAACTTTTTTTTTAACAACTGCATATTGAAAATATTAAAATTTTCAAGATTCCAACTCTTTTGGCTAAGGCATGAGATTCTGCAATTTTTAGCAAGCTTCCTGCTTTGCTGCTGCTGCAGCTGGCCTCTGGCCTTCTGCTGGGTAGAAAGGATCTGACCTGCCTAAGCAAGAATGACGTGGATTTCTTTAAAATCACTGGCATTACAACTCAGTTGAAGAGTTTTACCCTATAAATAACGCATGGAACACTGTAAATCTTCGTGAAAATCAAATTCTCAACTACATAATTTTCTGACCAGGATGTTAGAGACAAGAATGAGTCTGGTATGAATGATCGGTGTTTGTGCTTGTGTACGTGGGTGTGCGGGAACACCTTCATATTAGCAGTAAGGAAGTGTGTCAGCAATTCTTCTGTGACTGTCCTCAATTTGGACTTGCATTCGTCTGAGCACATAAAGTTTAGAGAACTGCCAGGTTCAAATGTGCCCTGTCTCTGAGGTTAAGCCTCAGCTTATTTCACTCATTTCAGCAGTTTCCATGTGGATGCTGTTAAGGTTGCCTGGAATTTGGAGATAAGCCCAGGATTAGTCCTGCTTTAAAGTCATCATGAAGCCTTGTTATAGGCCTCAAGTTAAGTTGTTAAATGTATTTTTGAGAGCTTGCTGGGGGAAAAAAATCGTCACATTCACTAACTTTAGTAAGCTTCAGATAGCAAAAGCACAGTGGTCGTTGAAAATCTATCTGTAAGCCTGTACCTTTATGTATTTTTAAAAAGGTAAGCGTATGTTGTGAAGCTAAAACAACATACTGTTTACCAAACTTGCTTTAGGAAAAGTATCTACACTGAGAAAAGCTTCACAAGATATTCACTTAAAAGAATTTAAAAACTCGGTCAATCTTATTCGAGCAGACATTTAGAAAGAATTTGATAAGGATTTTGGAATAGCTTGTTATTAAACATGTTTTAAGTTTTGTGTTTTTCTATTGCTATGAAAACTACTATTGCAGAAATTTGCCAAGCATTATAATGCTTAACAGCTACTGTAAATGCCAATTCCATTTATGTTGCACTGGTGTTAATTCTATGTCTTAAACTTTGGCTTTCTAATATTTTTGCTATTCTATTGACCTCGAGGATATAAAATAGAAAACAGTGATATTTGATGAATTCTTGTCAAAAATGTATTGCCTTTGGGTAAGACATTAGAGAACATCCAGAAAAAGGATAGTAAAATAGTGGCAAATTGCATATAGGATAGAATTGTGTTGGGCATATACTCAGAAAATAAACTTAGAGTGTAATCCTTCAGAGATAATGTCCTAATGGAAGCCAACAGACTTTTTGTCATTACCTAGACATTAAAATGTGTCTAATCTAATTAATAGTATTTTAAATTGTTTTAAATATGACTGAATTTTAAAGGATTTTAATCTTAAAGTATGTTATATATATTATAGACTTATGATTAGGATTCTTAAAAGCATAGCTAAATAGATATAATGTGAAGAGGCAAGAAAAGTTTGTCCAGGCTTTGCAAAAGATAATTTAGGAAATCTTTGTGTGTGTGTGTGTGTGTGTGTGTGTGTGTGTGTGTGTGTGTGGTGAAAACTGTGAAAGAAAAGGACTCAGTTAAATATATGCATAAGCTATTCATATACTTTAGGTACATAAGTAATTTATTTATCATGTAAATTATTATAACAATATTTTATTTCAAAATTTGATGACATTGAAGAATTATTTTTATAGTAAAGCAGTCCTAATTTTGGCAATACATAGTGACTTACCATGGAATTCATATCTTCAGAATGACTTCTCTTGTTTTTGTAGACAAATTCTGATGGATCCAATCTGACTAAATCTAGAGACTATTCTTAAGAATCATGGAAACTATTTATAATAAGGTATCAGAAAGTATTTCCCAGCAGAGATCATAAGATAAGAACAACTACTTCCTCATGACACGAAGTCATCCATTACCTCTGTTCCCCATATCCTCTTTTTCATGAGTCACTGTGATTCTTCCCATTTTGAAAAAAAAAAAAACCCCGAGACTTAAAGAGGTTAAATTACTGAGTATCACACAGGGAATGGCTGTATTGGAACTCTGACCTGATCAACATATTAAACTCCTTTGGAAAATTCAGAAAAAGCAAGCATGATTTTCTTAGGTGCATTGAAACTACAAAGAGCTAACTATTGCTATCAAATGAGATCTTAAAACACAAACAACAATAACAAAATGGCCAAGACGTTTTTCCTAATTCACATAACTTAAAATTGTAATGTATTATACATGATTACAGAACTATTTTAATCATTTATTTACTTTTAATTCACTTCTATATTTGAGCATGAATTAATACCATCAGACTTGAAAAGTCACAGGACTAGAATAACTAAGTAAAATTTTTGCAACAAATTTCCCAAACTTCAATTAACTCATACAATCTCAAGATAGATATTCTTTTGAAACATAGAATAACATTCAGAACATTTTACTATAATTCTTTCTTAAATAAGCACAGTTAAGAAAGCTTATTCATACAGTGAAATATAAGTTAGAGGAACATATTACCAACTAGATGAAAATCGTTAGATTTCCTATCGCAAGTTAAATTCAAGAAAGAAGGGTTTTATTTCCCTGCTGTGTTACATCTCCTATAGGCAGACAGAAATGAATTATGAAATCCTATTCCCAGAAAACTTTCTATAATTTTGTTCTCTTGTATGTAATAGCCTGATAAATAGAGTGTACACTCTGTTCAGGAGCAGGAATGGCTCTTAAAGTTGGACATGACTACGTCACCACTAATACAGAGTCATGCTAATACATTTTATGATGTTTGTTCTGAACTCTAAGGCAAGATATGAAGCAGTTTGCCAACTCCTGTCTAGTTTTAAAACAGAAAACATAGTGCATAATTCTCCAGAGACAATTTTTCACTAAGCTTTCTTTTGGCAATTAGCCAATTTTTTTCTGAAGTTGTAACACAGATAAAATTTAATAATCACCTTTCAGACGGAATATATACATATATTATTATTATTATTACATGGGTGAGCACTGAGTCACATAAAATGTTATCAACTTGTCTTACCTCTGTCACTGAAGTCATCTACTAGGATGATTTCTGTTATCAGACTCCCTGGAGTGCGGTTAATTATGCTGTGTATGGTCCGCAGGAGTGAAGTCCAACCTTCATTATGAAATGGGATAATGATGCTGGTGTTGGGCAGTCTTTCCAAGTACATCTTGTGCTTACAGCTGGAAATGATGAAGGAAGATGAAAAGGTATATGAAATGCAAAATTATCATGTATCTTTTACAGTTGTTTGTTTATTCACTGTTATAACTGTTAAAACATAATTTTGCCTAATAATTTCTCACCAACACAATGTGCATGATAGTTATTCTTCTTTGTTAATTCTTTAACAATACCCTTTCAAATTTACTCTTAATGAAATAATTACTTTATTCTGTTTTGTATCAGGGCTCAAGTATGTCAAGATGGGGAAAAGTTCTCTCCCTAAAGTATGTTTTTCGTATTGTTATGAAATAAAATATAAGGGTAAGTTATTTGTGTTAAAACCGTGTCTACTCAGTATATGACTAAGGTTTACACTGGCTTTTGAAAACTTCTAAAAAGTTACCCTTGGTAATAATTATGCATATTCATCAATTCTCCTTGCAGCATTCTAATGGTTAGACAGTATTTAAGGCTTTTTTAGAGAAAAATTATCTACAGGCTTTACAAGAAATAAGATGGAAAGGTTGTGGATGCTGTTAAGCTTGCAAAGCCTGTTAAGGTTGGCTTTTCTTTCTGTCCTATTAATTAATTTAAAACTTCATCATATTTGTCAAACAAGCACATTTTGACATTCTAATAGGCTAAGAATGAAAGTAGCAAGTTGTCTGGATTATATCAAAATATAAGCATTAAGATGCTTTAAGTATAATGAAATGGCAAATCATAAAAAATAAATTAGATCTGTCAGTAATTTCCAAGGTAGTAAGTCAGATAGTTTTAACCATAATGTACGGATTTGAGAAAGAACACTACTGTGATTCAGCATACTTGTGAGCAAAACCAACAAAAAGCCCAAGAAAGCTGTGCTTCCATACATCAATAATAATGATTACACCTATTAAACAAGATATCAGATCCTGAGAAAAAAAGCGATATTTCCAAGGGGGAAACTGAATTTTTAAATGATTAATTTATTTTCATTTTAAAGGCAGAGCTTCAAGCATATAAAGAGGGAGAGAGAGCCGGGAGGCAGGGAGAGAATGAGGTATTGCATTTATTTGTTCACTCCCCAAATGGCTGCAACAGACAGAACAGGAGCTTCTTCTAAGGCATTCAGATGGATTGCAGAGCCCAAGCACTTTGGTCAGACTCTACTGCTTCCCCAGACCATTAGCAGAGGGCTGGAAAAGAAGTATGGCAGCTGGGATGTATATGCATGCTGTTGCTTCAGGAGGAGGCTTCAATTGTTATTGCACAGCACCAGCTCCAGAAAATCACCTTAAAATCATTAATATAACATATTGCACATGTTGTTAGCTTATTCACTAAATAAAAATGGCATTTAGAGTAACATTCTATAAACATTCAATAGTTTGATGACTATCAACAGATGTTTCATAGTCATGTCCAATTCAGTCAGAAAAATAGGCAGACACAAAGGAATTCAAGAGTAATCATATACAAAAATGTATGAGCAAAACAAGTCTTTTTAATGTGTTAATGTGCCAGAGTCCACCTCCAGCTAAGTTCAGAACTCGAGAAGGGTGCGTGGATGAGGCACAGAGGAACAAAAGGGACCACTACAATTTCAGGATCATAATGGACAAAGCGAGAAAGTTGTCCGCTTTATTTATACAGAAACAGTCAAACTAGCACAGACTTTTTACGTCACGGTCAAGTGGGCATTTCCAAGGATAATCCTGCCATTTTTTCACCTTAAAGCAGGCTGTTATCCATCCTGACCCTGTGGTCAGGAAGTTCTGAATAGATGGTGCGTATCAATCTGTAACACATTCCTACTGCAATCCTCATCCTACAACTTCGTCTTGAATCAGTTAAGGAAGGAAATGCATCACAGAAGGAGGGAGCTACAGATCAAGAAAAGAGGGAAGAATAGATTCCCACTATACCTGGGAACTTAACACCCTTGATTAGCATATGGTCAATGGGGGTAGCCCAGACAGCAATAATAAAAGGCTCTTTTGCTAAGGCGTTATCAGCAGCATCAACTTCCAAGATCACATTAGTAAAGACCAACTCCGCAGTGGCAGACAATGGCTAAATAGATACAGAAATCTCAGCAGGGTTGTCTGGTGTCCATGCAAAGGGAGGTGGAGCTGCATTCAGGTGGTTGTAGAGACAGACATCCGCTGGGCCTTGCCACACAGCGGGAAGTTCCTTGCAGCCCTGCCTGCAATGGAACAATACTTTTCACACCTTCGTGTCTTCTGCACCCACCACACGGACTCCAGCATTAATGAGAGCGGAATGTAAGTATTCTTGTTAAAGCACTTAGTGTAAAATTGTATCTTATAATAGCAAAAACTGAAAAATATTGCCATTACTATTGTTGTCACTCTTGGTGCTTTGATGTTATTATTTTATCTGTTAACTTCTTTGGAAAGGGATTGGAAATGTAAGAGACAGGAAATGCATAAAGAAACGTTAGAGACATCTAAGACACAGAAAAATAAATGCATTACATTCTCTTCCCTTTTGGATTCACAGACCAGGGGACAGATATATAGAGTGATTAGATACAAATGAGACAAGTGATAAAACAGGATACACAGGCAATGAACCCTGGGGGAAATGGAGCTAACTTTGTCTGAAAGAATTAAAGAACTCTTTATAGATGAGTGCGTGGTTTGAGAACACACCACATAAGGATTCTGAGAGTGATTCCAAAGATGTCGGACTTAAGCCTTAAGTCAACGTGAAGATGTTCAAATAATGTTCATCATGAGCACAGTTCCACGTTTACATATTCCTCACACAGTCAAGCAGACAATATGCTGAAAACGGCAGAAACTTGCAGTAGGAAGATTAGAGATGATAATAGTTCTGGCAAGAATAATGAGGGTGCAGATTGATTCTTACTGTAAGGAAAACCAGTCCTTCTATAACAGTATTGAATCTGATTGAATTATTCTCAGTCACTCTAGTGTTTAAGCTGCTTAGAAGAAAATTGAATTCACTACCAAATTCAAGCAACGGATTTGAGAAGTTGTGTTGCAGATGACTGCTGTTCAATATTACTAGAAATGCTGAGGCATACCCAGGGCTTTATTAAGAACCTGTATCTGTGCATGCCAGATATAATTTCAGGTCTGGTTTAGAATGGAGGATTGTAAAAATGCAGACAACATACTACTAAGGAACAGTGTTTAAGAAGCAAGCAAAATTAAATCAAAGAGATTTATAAGTTTATGCTTGAAATAAATTGCAAAAGAATAAATAGAAAGAGATATGGAGATATAACAAAATGTTTATTGTATCAAGTTACGACAATATGGGTACACATTCTTGTAATTGCTGCATTTCACATTGCTACACTATTAGGGTTTCCGTAGTGTCATGGTTATCTTATTCACCTCACACATTACTGCAGTATTTTTAAGTATTCACATCAAGTTAACTGAGAATTTAAGAATGTACATCTCATTATTAATAACATTTTGTTTAAGTTCATGAAAAATTCAATCTTCATCAAGAATGTCAATGACAGAGCTTAAATCATAATAATTCATTTGAGAGAAATGACAAATTGTGTAACCATTTAAAAGGCTGACAAAAAGTTGAAACGGTTTAGACAATCTGCTGAGCTTTTTATAGAAGATAAAATGAAATTGAATAACAAATTTCTCATTCTCTTACGTGTTATTCCAAAAATATAAAAGACAAATGCTTTCTGATGTTTCATATTGACATTTGCTAAACTGATAGGTTTTAAAGGGCTACTTAATTTAATAATATTTTTACTTGTTAACATATATAATATTTATTTATTGTAATTGTACTTACTTATCTTTTGTACTTAATTGGCTTAACAATATATTTTTTTTCAAATCTACAAAAAGTTCAAAATATAAATTTTAATTATAAATATGTAAAATGGGAGCCTTTTTGCATAAAGCAGGTAATTTACCAATCATACAGTTTTTTTTTTCTAAGAGCATTTAGGCCAATTGCATTTGAGATGCTTAACAAACTTGTCACCTTATCATTCTCTCCCATGGTATGTTGCTACAATTTTAGTGATGTAAACAAAGATAAAATTCACACTTTAATAATTCAAATACTTGTATTTCAGTTTCTATGCAAAATGTTCAGGTGATTCATTTTCATGTTTCAATCCTTAAGTAATTTTACTAGCTTATTCAAAGTATAGTATTTTGAAGACTTTTAATTCTATTTTTACTTTAAAAAACATAAGGATGTGGTACTTTGCTAATAACCACCCTTATTCCAAATATCTTAAAGTAATCAATATTCTCTTTCGTTTCTTTCATCTGTTTAATGCTTGTTGGCAGAAGTGCTTCTGCTCGTTATAGCATGTGAAAGTAACAGCAAGTTTATCATTGTCAATCACTATTTCAGAGGAAAATGAGACCACTGATGCCTTTCAACTTGGACATGAATGGCTTGTCCGTAAGAATGATGTCTTTCTTTCTGCTTATACTTCATTGTTCAGAACTAGTCATATCTGCCACAAGAGCTACAGAACTGTGATCATAAGTGGTTTTGTTTTTCCTAAGATTTATTTATTTTTATTCTGAAGTCAGATATACAGAAAGGAGGAGAGATAGAGAAGAACATCTTCTGTCCACTGGCTCACTCCATAAGTGATTGCAATGGCCGAAGCTGAACCGATAAGAAGGTAGGAGCCAGGAGTTTGTTCTGGGTTTCCCATGTGGGTACAGGGTCCCAAGGTTTTGGACCATCCTTGATTGCTTTCCCACGCCACAAGCAGGGAGCTGGATGGGAAGTGGGGCTGCCAGGATTAGAACCAGCGCCATACAGGATCCCAGCATGTTTAAGGCGAGGGTTTCAGTTGCTGGGCTACTGCACAGGACTCTGTAATCTTAAGTGTTGCAGAAAAAATATAATTGGAAATATTTGACAAGTGGCACCAATAAAGTGTACCACTCAAAGTTTTCTACCTTCTTTCACCTACATTTTGTTATAAAACAATTATTTCTTTATTTGAAAGGCAGTGTTACAGAGACTGAGAGGA